ATCCGTACACGATCATAATTCCGAAAGCCGAACACCTCCACCGCTGCAGAGTTCTTCGCCACCGCTCTTTTCATAGCTTCGGAAGAATGTTGACCGGCAACCAGGTAATAGAAAAACTCATCTGCCCGTTCGGGGTCGAAATCCTCTAGAAGGACGCGGGTTCCTTGTTCGTCCACGTCCTTTGATGGATTAATCGGAGCCAGCACCAACTCCGGTGGATCCCACGGAGCCGGATCATCCACGGACTATGGGCGAGTTGATGCTTCGATTGCCGCTTCGATGCCTGCGACGATGGTTGGGTTCAGCGCTCGCTGGTTGAAGGTGATCTCTCCCACCGGAATTGGAAGAATCTGCATGACGTCAATGACCACCCTAGGCGGGTCCTTTCTCTTTTTGCCGTCCTCGTCGTACTCGAGGAAGAAGCACTGCGTCATGTTCACCGCTTTGGGTTTCTTCGTCTCCGGTTTGTCGTCGTCAGGGATGGAGAGCAAACGAGGGGCCACCCCTTCAGCATCGTCGCTCGAGTCATTCGATTTCGGGTGCCTCGACGGCCGCACAGGCTTCCTGGGTTGCGATGTTTTGCGAACCCGAGCTTTGGATTTGGATTCCACACCGGCTTCACCAGGCGTACTAGCAGCTGCATCCAAGGCGAGCCGAGCGTCCTGCACAGCTTTTCTTCGAGCCTGCTTCTTAGGCGCGGCTCGCTTCGGCGACGATTCCGCTGTGCGTTTTCCCCTCCCCTTCGAAGTAAGCTCCGCGGAAACATCGACATCCTGTCCTTCGTCTTTCATTTCCTCGTCTTCCATTTCCTCATCTTCCATCTCCTGGTCTTCCATCTCCGAACCGCCCACATTACCACCGAGCACCTCGCCGCTTGCCGCTGCCTTTTCGCAATCCATGTGGTCCTGCCCACCACCACATTCTCCTTCATTCTCATCGTCTTCTCCATCGCCCCTCGCCCGGGCTTCGTCACCTCTACTATCCTCCCGCTCTGCATTCACATCGCAAGAGCCTTCGCCCTGGGTGAACCTTCGCGTGGCTAGTGACTGGGATTGCAATCGGCGAATCCGTTCATCGTTCTCCGTCTTCTCGCTTGACTCCTCGTCCATTCGACGTTGGGAGGTGTCCCGCGAGCGCGAGCTTCTACCGGCACGCGAGCTTCCCGGAAGACTGGAAGGTGGTTTGTCAAGCACCTTCTTCTTCGGAATGTTTCCCGATGACCCACCGCTCGGACGCCTCTGGTAAGTAATGAGTTTCTCCTTCGCGGACACAGATGGTTGAGGAGTCGAGACATCCTGCCACCGATCGCTATAGCACGCTGACAAGCCTGCGAGACTTTCTCCTAGAGCGTCGAACGGCATAAGAGGCAACGAGAGCTGGTAACCAGCGGAGACCATCGGGTATTGACCACTTCTTCTATACACATTGGTCTTGGTGAGGAATTCAATAGGTAAGAGCATCCTCGAAGCATTCCCGTCCCGCTTGCTGCTGAAGGCTTTCATACCGAATGCCTGCTGACCATACCCCTTGAACAGAGCAATGTCAAGGCTGACCTTGTGGTCAGTCTTGACCCAGTTCGTACCCTGCTCATCGTACACCGAAGTGAGGAAGAATTTCCTCAAATCTCGGTCGTCGACCTTACCCTTGTCCGTCGTGGCCTCGTCAACTTCAGACCTGATGATGCCACCACAACAATACCAGGTCGTCCCTTCGTCCTCTGTCAAGAATACAGCAGCACCGCACCCGGGCTCGCCGGGCACTCCGACCCAGTCGAGAGCCCACAGCTTGTCGCGGTACAGTTTTGACCTTTTGTTGTACCTCTTATCCGCATCTTCAGGACACCTATGACCTTTCGCTGGAGGAGATATCAAAAAGAAAAAGAACGAGGGATGCATCAATGACACCTATCTCTATCTCCCACATCACGAGATGGAAAAAACCAAAATACAAAAGCAATTTCACGCCACATGCCGACGGCAGACCTATCTCTACCTCACACTATGGGCAGCAACCGCATGTGTCGACCCTGGTGATCGCGGGGGGCCTGCGTTTGCCAAACGCATGACCCCCGGCTGCCGACCAACACATCGGGGGGAGGGGGCGGGGGGCCCTGCGTCGTTTGACAAACGCAGGACCTCCCGCTACTGGCCGGCACATTGGTGGCGGGTCCTACGTTTAGCAAACGCAGGACCCCCGCCGATGTGTCGGCCACTAGCCGGGGGTCCTGCGTTTGTCAATCGCAGAACCCCCGGCCGGTAGGGGACAATCGGGGGGGGTGGGGCGTCGCGCGTTTACCAAACGTGGTGGGTCCTGCATTTTGCCAAACGCAGGATGCCCGGCGGGTGCAAGTTTCTATCGCGGGGGGGTCCTCCGTTTGTCAAATGCAGGACCCCCGGCGGGTGCAAGTTTCTATCGCGGGGAAACGCAGGACCCCCCTCGCGTTTGGCACGAGCACCCGCCGGGGGGCCTGCGTTTGGCAAACGCAGGACCCCCCCGCGATTGCCCCGGCAGTCGGCCGGGGGGTCCTGCGTGTGGCAAACGTAGGACCCCCAGCGGGTGCTCGGGGCAATCGCGGGGGGGGCCAAACGCAGGACCCACTGGATGCAGACCTCCCGGGGCAATCGCGGGGGGTCCTGCGTCTGCCAAATGCAGGACCTCTCCCGCGATTGCCCCGAGCACTCCACGACACGGGTCCTGCGTTTGGCAAACGCCGGAACCCCCGGCCGACTGCCAAGGCAATCGCGGGGGCGGTCCTGCGTTTGCCAAACGCAGGCCCCCCGGCGGGTGCTCGGGCCAAACGTGCGGGGGGTCCTACATTTGGCAAACGCAGGACCCCCCGCGCGTTTGCCTCGGGCACCCGCTGGGGGTCCTGCGTTTGGCAAACGCAGGACCCCCCGGATGACGACAGCCCGGGGCGAACGCGGGGGGTCCTGCGTTTGTCAAACGCAGAACCCCCCGCGCGACAGCCCCGAGGAAACGCGCCGGGGGGTCCTGCGTTTGGCAAACGCAGGAACCCCCACACGTTTGCCCCGGTCACCCCCCCATTTTTGTTGGATCCTACGTGGCCAGCGACCGATCCTACGTGGCATTACACATAATGACAATCTCATTTTTGTTGAAAAGTTCGAAAAAAAAAAGGGAAGGGTTCGATCCCCCCCCCTTAAGGCCAGCGACCGATCCTACGTGGCATTACACATAATCACGATCTCATTTTTGTTGAAAAGTTCGAAAAAAAANCGATCCCCCCCCCTTAAGGCCAGCGACCGATCCTACGTGGCATTACACATAATCACGATCTCATTTTTGTTGAAAAGTTCGAAAAAAAAAAGGGGGAGGGTTCGATCTCCTTCCACTAAGGCCAGCGTCTGATCCTACGTGGCATTACACATAATCACGATCTCATTTTTGTTGAACAGTTTGAAAAAAAAAAGGGGGAGGGTTTGATCCCCCCCCCATTAAGGCCAGCGACCGATCCTACGTGGCATTACACATAATGACAATCTCATTTTTGTTGAAAAGTTCGAAAAAAAAAAAGGGGGAGGGTTCGATCCCTCCCCATTAAGGTCAGCGCCTGATCCTACGTGGCATTATACATAATGACAATCTCCGTTTTGTTGAAGAGTTCGAAAAACAAAAGGGGGAGGGTTCGATCCCCCCCCCCTTAAGGCCAGCAACCGATCCTACGTGGCATTACAGATAATCACAATCTCATTTTTGTTGAAAAGTTCGAAAAAAAAAGGGGGAGGGTTCGATCCCCTTCCACTAAGGCCAGCGTCTGATCCTACGTGGCATTACACATAATCACGATCTCATTTTTGTTGAAAAGTTCGAAAACAAAAGGGGGAGGGTTCGATCCCCCCCCCATTAAGGCCAGCGACCGATCCTACGTGGCATTACACATAATGACAATCTCAGTTTTGTTGAAAAGTTCGAAAAAAAAAAAGGGGAGGGTTCGATCCCC